GAAGGACAAATATGGACTCGCAATTTGCATTCTTCATTAAGGGTTCAGGTGGAGTATAATTTAGAAGCATGCCTTTTGATGGCTGCAGATTTCATTTAATTAGTCCTGAGGATGTGAGCTTTACAGCTAATATGAAAGCTTGAGATATATCAGTTGCTTGGTTTATCTCCACGACGTTATTTTTAGACGTCCTCCTGACCAGTTTCGCATATCCATCCACCGGCCATTTTGAGTAATGCTCCAGAAAATGCTCCAAACTGTCTAGAACCCCAATAGTAAAGATGACGACGATGCGGATGCTCATTGTATATGATGCCAGGCCCATGTGTCATTTGGTTTTAGGCCTCACGACTATCGAGTTCATGCTTAATTTTGACATTGTTTAAGTAAAACACGGACTTTATGAATCTGATGAAGTTCACCGGAGTGCATTATGCATCATTACAGCCTACTGATTTGTCATTCTTAAGGTGAATGTATTAGAAACAATATGTGTATATATGCAGGTGTTCTTTGAGTGACTACATAAAAGAAAAAAATAGACTTCAAAAGTACGGTAATCACAGCGAAAAATCGGATATCTTGAATAAAGGAGAAGGCGAAGTAAATTGGATTTACCAAAAATGGAGAATCCTACTGGACCCGAAAGAGATATGAATTCAAGGGTGAAAAGGCGTAAGAGTTTGAGCATTTTGCTCCGGATGATGTGAATGTAAATCAGGTTTGTCAGGACTGGAGATTAAAGGATACTTTCCGAAACAAGTAACAACGTAAAAGATGAATAAATAAGAGTTACCCTGAAGAGACGAGGGAAAATGAGGTCTGGAAGGTCGAAATGACATTCGTTTACATAAATACAGTGGGAGAAGTTTCGCCTCGAGATAAACCCTCATTGATCTGCCCGGAAGCAGCCAAAAAGACGATGCATTCGGAACGGAAGCGCCGCTATCCATCTTGTTGTTCCAGAGCCTCGAGAGCGTGAATTTACTTGGTCATTTACCTTTTCGCCATTTTGTTCCTCCAAGTTTGGCCGTCGCACCAACTTTTTGTACCAGTGTACACGACGACCTTTTGTCTTGACCTCCGAAGCTGCGGTCGTCACCATTCTGGTCGGGAGCACCTCTGCAGACGGGTGGTCTTTGATATATAATGGGGACCAGTGAGATCTAGCGGCATATCCTATATCTAAATCTGCCTCCCTGAGACTCCATTCAGAACCGTGTTCTAAAAAAAAGAGTAAATGTCAAATAATTTTAAGGTTAGTTGTATGAAAATGCGGGATATATCGATGCATATACCA